TGAACTATGATTCTCTCTACTCCAATGGCTAATTCTTCCTCAGTAACTAAATAATAAACCCTGCCCTTTATAGAGTCTTCTTTTAGGTGTTAACAATATGCCCGTACCTGGTCTCTGGGCTCATTTTCCTTTACCCCAGACATTCCATGGAGCCCTGACCAGCTAACTCCTGCTGAGTCTGGTAGACCTATGGCCTCCAGCTTCACACCAGGAAACCTTCTCTGTGCATTTTTTTTTGGAGAGGTCCACTATAGGGTGCATGCGCTCGCCAGACAGACAGAGAGAGACATAGAGACAGAAAGCGAGAAATCACCCCCCGGGGGGATGGTCACGCCGCAATCCCTTCTCCTCCATTCTCCTCTCGGGATCTTGGGCACACACACATACGCAACCCCAGCGTGAGTTCTAAGCCACCGGGTCCGGGACGCGAACCGTGGTCGACTACGTGGGAGTCCAGCGACATATCCATTACGCTAACTGCTGGTTCCCTCTCTGTGCATTTTTAAACACCCAAGCACTAGCAATCTAGGGCTCTCTTTGAGGCCTAGAGGACACTATTGTCTCCATCCCTCATGAAAATTTTCTTGTCCTTCAAGGCTGAAATGTCACCTCCTACCCTGGTCACCTCACATGAAGGTGACTGCAGCCTTCCTCTAGATTCTCAGAGACAACCATGCTGATAATAGATACCATTTGTCTTAAATTATGGTTGATTATGTTTACTTCTGTTGACCTGTCTTATTTTTCTGTTTCACCTTTTAAGGTCTGTATTGCATTCAAAAGAATTAGGAAGACTTACAGAGAACAGAAAACAAAGGGATAGGAAAACATTACATTTTATTACATTATATTTTAATGTAAAATGTATTTTACATTATATATTTTTAAAATAGTTCCTTTTCATTAATAACAGCCTACCCGGGGAACCAGCAGTTAGCGTAATGGCTATGTCGCTGGACTCCCACGTAGTCGACCGCGGTTCGCGTCTCGGACCCGGTGGCTTAAATCTCACGCCGGGCGCGTGTGCGTGCGTGCCCAAGATCCCGAGAGGAGAATGGAGGAGAAGGGATTGCGGCGTGACCATCCCCCCTGGGGGGTGATTTTTCGCTTTCTGTCTCTATGTCTCTCTCTGTCTGTCTGGCGAGCGCACGCGCCCTATAGCGAAAACCTCTCCAAAAAAAAAAATAAAATAACAGCCTACCCTATTATAAGGCAGATTTAATTTTGCATATTATATTAATTTGCATATTATATTAAAATCCTACATTTTACTACACTTCAAAACAAATTAGATATCTACTGGAAGAAAGAAAAAAGACTAGTTGATCAAGGACTGACTTAGGAATAAAAAAAAATGTTGCAGAAGGTGGGGCGAGTAGAGACATCTCATTTTGTTTTACTATAGTAGGCTGTTCTTCATTTATTCATTCATTCATTCATTCACTTGCTATAGGGTGCATGTGCTTGCCAGAGGTGGGAGGGGTTTAAGAAAGCATATCCCAGGTAGGGTGGCCTTCAATCCGTTCTTGGAACTTTTGAGCATGCACACATATATATCACATATGTTTCTCAAGCTACTGGGTAGAGGACTTGAACTGCTCAATCAGCCTTATGGGCTCCAATCAACCACCATGCCCTGGACCTGTTAATCATCTAAAATAAGTGATTGGTTTGCTGGCCCCATATCCTAGTGGTTAAGGGGGCCTAATCCCTTATGGGTGATTGTACCTGGTTTGCATCCTGGCCCCAGTGGATTGAAAAACACACCAGGCACCTGTGTGTGCATGCCCCAAATCCTAATAGGATGAAGAAATGAAGGAGGAGGGATTGTAGTATGATCATGCTTCAAGGAGTTGCTCTCTCCTTTCCTATTTCTTGGTCTCTCTCTGGTGATATGTGTCCTCATGGCAATTAAAAAATAAAAAGTCTAAAGTAAGTTGTTGGTACACTAAGACCTTTTCATATCTCAATGCCAACCTTTAAGCTACCCAAGAGGCTGAAACTCATCTTCTGTGAGTACCAAAAAGAGCTTCAAAAAGAGATCAGAGGCTATGTTATCACAACCTACTTTTCTTGGCTTTTCCAGCTTTCAAAATCAGAAGGTTTTTCTTCCTTAGTTTTAAATGTAGAACTAACTACAATTTAAGCTTCTTCTAATATCGGGTCATCAGAACAGTCACGACTTATTTTTCTATGTTTTCGATGCGAAAATGTGTCATGACTTTCCCTGTGACCCAATAGTTTAGGATTTGTTCTTTCTATTCCAAACGTAGCTTTTAAAAAATATGTTTTTGTTTTCCTCTCCAGTTCTAAAATCTTCATATCATACTTGCCTTGACACATCATGCATTGTTTGCACAGAACTGGGCAATAAACATTCCCAGGTAGCATTTCCCATCTTTGTATTTGTTAAGCCTTAAAATATCCAAGCTCCCTGGAGAGCCCAAATCATTTGTTTCAACTGCTGCCCCCTCCTCAGTTCAGCCCCATCAAGTTAGTGTAATTACAATGTTAAATTTTGAGTTCTTTCTTCTTTTTTAGAGCTATAGATTTGCACCTACCTTTTCTGAAAAGTTTCTGATACTCACTTTCCTAAAATCTCTAATTACATTCAATGCGTTTTTAAAGCTCTAGGATGAGTCACTTTCCCATAAGGTTTTTGTCACTTCCATGTCCCCAACTAGTTATTCTTTATTAGAAACAATTAACTCCAGAACAGGAGTGCCCTTTTTGCTTCTCTACCATATAAGACACAAAATTCTCAGAAAGTTAAATCCAGTATTTACTAGATTATCTGTGTTAAATGGAATGAAGCTCCCAGCAGATTCTGAGATAGAGTCCTCTATTATTATGTCTTGCTTATGTATGATATGTATCTACATAAACCATCATTAGGGTTAAATATCAAACCTAAAGTTTTGCAAGAGCCCTCCTTTGCAAATGACAGGAGATAGTGAGGATGGCAAACAGTTATTGCTACTATTGATAACAGCAAAGAGAGCAACGTTTGCACACTTTAGGAACATCCAAATACATCAATGAGATCAACAACAAAAAAAGAATATTTGAGGAAAAATTATAAAATCCTCTTCTACATTTGCAGAGTAATTTGATTCAATTAAATAAATGACTAGCTCAATTTTTCAAGTATGGATTTACTGCATATACAAAGCATCACATGACTATTATTTTATGGTTATTTAACTGTCTCCTTGTTGTCAAAACTCACATTATGTAATTCAAGACTAGCTGAGAAATGATTTTTCTTTTGAAATCCTCTCCCTTTCTCTTACACCTCAAGCATTAGAGGATGAGTTTCATTTTTACTTTCCTACAAAGTTATATTTTTAGTTCCTTAGACTTTATGGCGCTCTATCTACCTGTAATTATGCTGCGAAAGCATAAGAAGACGACAATGAAAGGCCAGCTGCAGACACGAGAGCAAAAGGCCTATTTGTGGTCTTGAGCAGCTGCAATAGGGCAGGGCGCACCTGGCAGAGTTCCCTCTGTCTCCAGCCAGGCATGACAAACCCATAGACAGAGTAGTCCCTCTTAGAGGGCGTTATTTCACTGCCCTGGAAGCCACAGGCTGAGGTCAAAGTCCAAGAGGGCTGATCCAAAAGGGTAAGGAGTGAGACTAAAGAGTGAAGGACTTCTAGAAAGATCTCCATATCCTAAAGAGCCACCACTCACTGTCCCATCCCTCCTCCCTCAAAACAAGTCAAAGTAAAACAGCCACCACAGCTCACTCAGGGAAGGCCAGATGTTACTTGTAATTCTACTTTGGAAATACTGCCTGGGATAGTTTTGATTTGATTTTTTTTTTCCTTAAAAAAATATGAAGTCATGAATTTGGATTTTACCCAGGACAGCAAGAAAAATGAAATATATCAGTCATATCTTTTGAAATTGGAATATCTTTCAGGGAATAGAAATATTTTCTAATGGTTTTCTTCTACAGTTAGGTGAAATTCCTTTTGTAAGGGGCCATTATTGCCTTAGAATAAATAAAAGATGCTGTCGTATGTGGAGGTTTGTAAAGCTCAGTGCAATTCGATGCTTTTAGTCTTTACATAATGATCTTTGCACTATACAGTGCTTCTGGCTCCTTGGTTTCAATTAGTGCTTTCTTACTTAGTCAGTTAATGTAATTGCAGCAAAGTAGCACATTTATATTCTATTCATCAACAACATTACCATATAATGCAAATTCACTTTGGAATCTTATTCACATTTCTTCAAAGACTCAGAAAGGGTGGAAGTGAATCCTCATTCCCAAAGAGAAGAGTGCGAATGGGCTGAAAACTACAGGTACACATAAAGACAGACTATATTGTCCCAGGTGCAATAGACATCTTAATATACATTTAGGATGAGGTTAGATGGTTAACTACCTTTCTGACAAACAACGATAAAGTCTCTTTCATGGAATGGACTGGTCTCCAGAGGTGCTTCCATAAAAAATGAACTCACCTAGGGCCAGATGATAGTGCAGCAGTACAATGCAACACTCTGTGAGTGTTGGTTGCCACATGGGAAGGTTGCCAGATCTCACTCAGAGACCTCCCTCAATGCACTACGTGCCTGTGTGTCCACATGCTCTGAGCTCATGGGGGTTGGGGGTAGACTATGGCACCAAGACCCTGGTGGGTTGCTTTATCTCTCTCTCACACACTCATGAAACCAATCAATAAACTCGAAAAAATAAAAGAACACTCCTCAGAAGGATTTACACATATGTATCTTTTAATTCCTATTTTACTTCTCATCTGCCAATACAGTCCAAATCCTATTGAGAAAATGCTACAATTTATTTTATTATATAGGCATTCTGCTGTTGTTAATACTGACTGAATAAGCGTCTAAGGACTAAAACCTTGGAAACCCATTCTAATGGGTCCACAGAGTTGTCCTTAATCTCTCTTATAACACAACTTACATCACTCAGTACAATGATCAAGGAAATATGCAGCAGCTAAAATAAGAACAACACTACTTACGGTTGACAGAGTTTCACCAGGTCCTGGTCGGTGGTGTTGGGAGGCAGGCCTCGGATGTAGAGGTTCGTTTTGCTTAGCTGATCCCATCCTGAGTTGCTGCTGCTGCTACTGTTGTTATTACTGCTGGTGGTGCTGGGACTGGGAGGGGCCATGGGGTGCGTTGGGACCAGAGACTGCTGGAAAACAAAGAACAGGAGCATTAGAACATTAGAGATTGATTCAGAGGCTAGATAGTCTCCAAAATAAAAATGAAGTTTCCAAGGTTTAAAGACAAGTCATCTTCAGATACTTTGATGTATAGACTTTAATTTACACCATTAAAAAAGATCTGTTCAGTCTACCAAAATGCTCTTTCCTTTAACATGAAATTAATAATAGGATTTTGCTCAGTAGAAAATTCTCTATGTACGCTTTAAATGCAACTCAATTTATAAAAGATTAACTTATTCATACAGTTTAAAGAATGTATCACTAAGACTCCGAAATGACTTGCATGAAGTTATATGATAATACTGTCTTAATATACACTAATTAAGAAATCACTAGACTTTTGAAAAGGTTTTCAAATGCTGAAGAACATTTGATTGAAAGTTGCTGATTATTTTATTAAGACAACTCTTCAAATGAGAATACTCTTCAAGTATAAGAAAGTTAAGAATTTAATCCACATCATGAAGTAAGGACTTCACCTCGTTCAAAGACAGGCACATGCTTCATTGAGGCATGTGGATAAGATTCACAGGCATGCTGCCCTTTGCTCTGGCTAAATCTGTGAAATTTAACCCTTGTGAGTATGGTAGCTGGAAATCTTCCCAAGCCTCATGGCAAACACCACAACTCTTGCAAAGCCTGCAGCCAAGGGCTCAGTGTGGTTTGACAGTCAGCAGCCACCTAGGAAGAATGTCTGAAATTGTACTCACACCAGATAATTCTCTGTGAGCCAATCGAAAAAACCCCACAGTTCTCTGACCTTACGCCACACACATGACTTAGGAGGAAGTTAAATGGTTCAGCTTGAGATGGAAGTGAGCACAACCCAAAGTGTCCTCCCAGTGAGTGCTCAGTAATTTCACACCTGGACAGAAATTTTTTTTCTCTTCCTCACAGCTTCTAAATAACAAATATACTAAACCCAAGCATATCGCTTCTATTAGCAGTTTGAACATTTGAATTTAGTCACTAGACTGCAACAAAAATTTCAAGTCTTTACACCTATAAACAAGAATATTAGGCATATGGAAACCAAATTAAATTCCACAGTGGAAAGTTTGGAAAGCCGACCCTTTGAAATAAATGTATCCCCCTTTACCTCATCAGAAAGCTCAGCTACCCACCACAGATCCCTGGTTCTGTATTCAGTTCTGCCATGATCATCCCAGTTCCGCAATATCCCAACACAATGGGATCTCATTAATTTAGATACACAATCACATCTTCTGGTCCTATACCTTCCAGATTCTTCTTCCCACTGCCCAGGGGCCTTGCTAAGAAATTATCTGAGTGCAAACACTACTTTATCTAATGGGGTTTTCTTTAAGAAGGAGAACAGCAAAAAGTGTTAACTGTAGTCAATGCAGAAATGCTACCTACAGAAGGCTGAACTTAAAACAGGGAACATCAGACTGTTTAACCCCCAAACAAAACCTGCCTGAGATCACATCTTATCTAATCGATCTGACTTCTGTCCTTAATAAGCAGTTGGACTCATATCCTTTCCCTTCACTGCTGGTTTTCCTCTGAGGGCTGAAGACTCTGCTTTCTAGAAATAAAACCAAGACTAAACCCTGTCTTTGGCTTGTCACATGTGGCACCTCAGACCATGTCATACAGAGTCCAGGTTCCATTTCTGAGGCAACTTATTACCTGTGCGTACCCAGCCCTCCCCTGTTTCTCAAATCAGTAAGAACTGAGGTGCTGGAAATAACACACATTTGCCTATCCCAAGCCTTTGACTGACACAGAGAAATTGTAGCTGTCCAGAGAACTGGACAAGACTGAATTTTCTCTTCGATCTCCTTTGATCAGTGTCAGAGAAAACATCCCAACATGAGCCACACCATCACCCAGTATGATGGGTGCAGCTGCCAGGGACAAGACACATTCGCCTGGGAGGAGATATGGAGAAGTAGCAAAGGAGCTGTGGGTCAAGTCCATCCCACTCTTAGAGGATTCCATCAACGTGGTGCAAAGGAACCATCAGATGTTCACAGACTGCATTCCACGGCAGCACCGGCTCCGACCCCAGGGGGACAGGGAGGGCTGGGCCTGAACTTACATGTTGAAGGGAAATGTTCGGGGGTGTGATTTATTCAGAGATCATTTGACATTAAAGCAGTAGGTTTGTATTTATGTATTTATTTTTGGCAGAAGTGGAGCTATGATTTGTGTTTCTGAATTTACATAGCCAATTTAATGTATGTCCAACATGCATTCATATTAATTGTAGTGATGTTTTCTCACTGTGGGAAGTAGGTGAGAACCCATCTGGCCTGTGACTCCCTGCTCTCTCTCATCTGCCCCATGAGGGAATGGAATCTTCTACCATCTGATCCTACACAGGAGACAGGGACTCCTCAGTGTACCAGAGGAGGACTACTAGCCTCTAGTGAACCCTTTAGAGAACTTAGTTCAAATTCAAATTTCATCTGAACATTAACTCTCTCTCAGAGCTAGCCGAATACAAAGATAGCTGAAAGAGAGAAGCCCTGATTTTGTCTAGATGGTCCATTTTAAAATTTTCTGGTGCAAATAATGTTAGAGCAAAGATTTAAGTTTCGTTTTGTTTTTAGGTTTTTCTCATAGGGCACATGCACTTGCTAGAGAGATACAGAGACAGAAAGAGACAAAGAGAGGAAAAATGAGAAACCACCCTGCGGCGGGAATGGTCACACCACAATGCCTTGTTCTTCATTTTCCTCTCAGTATTTTGGGCATGCAAGCATACATACCTGGCGTGATTTTCAAGCCCCTGAGTCAAGGACTCAAACCGTGGTAAGTCACATGGTAGTCCAGCACCTTATCACCTTAACCACTATGCCAACTGCTGACCCCTGGAAACATTAAGTTTTTAGAATTCACTGAAACTAAAGAAGAAAATTCAAACAAGAAAGCTGTTTACTCCTAAATATTAGGAATGGGCTAGTGTTAATGATAATAGTATGAATAATAATTACTGTCACATAGCAGATGTCTACCATGTACCAGACTCTGGGTAAGTTTTATATTCACTATCTTACTTAATCCAACAAAACAGCTACATTATTGTTCTCCCACTTTGCAGACTAGAAAACTGAGTCTCAAGAGAATCTAAGTAATGCATCAAGGCCACACCTTTTGTGGGTGTTGGGGCTAGAATTTGAAGCAGCCAAGTTTGCTAAATGACAGAGCCAGAACCATCAAACAGTACTCTAAATGGTACCCCAAACACCTTCTATCTCCCAGATGCCCTCCTGCAGTCTCTCATTTTCCATCCCCATCCTACCTGTAGCCTAACTATCGAATTCAAGCTTCTTGGAAATGTGATACTGAATACCACTGACAGCTATGTATTTTAATAGTGTTTCCAAAAAAAAACTTACCTTTAAAAAGAAAAACTGTTTTTTTAAAATTATACTTTATACATTTTTTTTCGTTAAAGGATGAGTCCTGCAACAACCTTGGAAAGCTGTCGCGTATTACAACTAAACATCAGAGTCAGCATTTTAGGAAGGCATTACTTAAACAGGGAAAAATTAAACCCTCATGCCTAGATTGAAATGCAAATACAAGTCTTTAACTACGACTTCAGAACACTGATAAATTTAAAGTAATTACACTTTGTAGTTAGACTATGTGCCTTGGCAGCACAAATGATAAACTTACCAAACAAAATAAAACAGAAAGAAAGAAAATTTACAAAGGAACAGTATTTTATCAAGCTCCATCTTCCTCATTGGTTGCACTTTTGCATCTTGTCTCTCAGAAAGTTTAAGCCACCACGGAATTTCAAAAGACCCTCTGTGAATGAAGCCAGGGCTAGTTTACTGCATTGGATCTAATTAGGGAATTGGTGACTAGATAACTAGAGCTAAGTGCTGACCCATCCCAAAAGAGCTTATCCTCTATCCCAAACTTCTCCAAATTAACTTTACTCCTTTCAGGTCAGGTAAACAGCTACATTCTCTCTCTTCATGGGCAGAGGAAACAGGCTAATCCCATTTTCTTGGTAATATTTATCTGGGATTAATTAGTCTGCCCAAACTGATAAAAAACAAAGTCAGTGGTGAATAAATGGGTGGCTTTATTATCAGATCCTCTGCACTCCCTGCACAAGTGTCCCAGCGCCAGCAGGAAAAGCAACTCATTCACACTCAGAAGAACTTCCTGTGTGGGCAACACTCAGAAAGCACTTCCTGTGAAGGACTTCCTCTATGGATAACAATCAGGGAGCACTTCCTGCATAGACAGCACTGGTGCCTCCATCCGGCCAGGAAAGCCCACTGGGCCTCCTACACTGAAAGATAGGACCACTGACATACATAGGGTAATTCCATTGTCCTCTCCTCATGTCACCCTCCCACCCAACACCATATCAAACATGTCGTCTCTTCTATACAAACACCAAGTGCAAAGGGACTTCACAAAAAAGGTCATAATTAACCACTGTGAACTAAAATGGGGTGGTAATCATGTACATTGTTGTAGATTTCTATTTAGCATGGATGATTTAAAAATGAAGGTCTATCGTTTTGAATTCTATTGTCTCATTTCCTTCCTATTACTAAAGGCTAAGGAATAGTGATCTGACCAACCCTATAGCTGACGCTGTCCTCCTTTTTTACCCCCTTACTTAGCAACTTCGCTAAGAATTCTATTGTATTTTGAAAGGAAAGGAAACTTAGACCTGCCTTCTAATCTCTCTCAAGTCTTCTTTAAAGCCACCATCCTCAGTTTACAAAGGCTATGATCCCTTAGTCCTATATGCTGGGGGATTATATATCCCCTGTTCCGATATGTCACCACCATGGCAACCACCACCACGGTGACCACCACCACGGCGACCACCACCACGGCGACCACCACGGCAACCACCACCACGGTGACCACCACCATGGCGACCACCACCATGGCGACCACCACCATGACCCCAACAGCAGGCAGGTTTAACACATCAATAATTTCCTTTACCGAGAAGCAA